TAGTGCTGCAATAAACATGGGTGTGCAGGTGCCTCTGGAGTAACCTGTGTTGCATTCCTTTGGATATATCCCCAGGAGTGGGATTGCTGGATCATACTCCATCTGGTCTTGACCATTGATATTTTCCACCACTTCCCAGAAGTCCATTCAATTGTGAACCCATCAATGCCCTCAATGCAATCACTTCCCAAAGGCCCCACTCTGAACATTGCTGCATTGAGGACCTAGCCTTTAGCTCATGAGTCTTTAGGGCTCATTTCAGACCCAAACCATACTACTACATGACCATTTTGCTAACATGCAAGAGAGTATATTATAATGGAGACACAAGCATAGGATAAGTAAGAGTTGAAAAAAGATCTAAGTTTCAGCTTAGTATGCATTTAATTTTTCTACTGATTTTTTGGAATACAATGATTGAGCTACTTCAAAAGGAGTTAAGGAATAGTTATGATATGTGAAAGCATTTTTAAAGCCATAAAACTAAATATCTTATTAATAGTTCTATAATAAAATCCATGACATCAGACAGATATTAGGCTTGTTAGAGAAGACATCATATTTACTTCAGTAAAATTTTGGAGGGTATAGCTTTCTCCACAAGACAGCAATTTGCCATATTATTGTCTGTTCAGTCACACTGACTTGCCTTCCCTAGTTCATTTTGTATTTTGATAATAAAATTATAATTTTCACACTGTTGTATACCATTTAGAAGTTGTGTCACAATTCACGTAATCAAAATATGTGTCTAATATAGTCTACTTCTAATGACACTTTTATATTTTTAAAGCTAAAATAAGACATGTTTCTTTAATGCCCCAGTTGCTCCCCTACCCACCAAAATTTTGAAAATGATTGTTTACATTAAGCCCAAAAAAATCAACACACAATAGTTAGAAACACATTGTTTTCCTAGTCTAAGTAAGATCATTGCAGAACTAGCTGAAGCATTATCAGTGACATTATTAAAGAACATCGATGAACAGGGTAGCCAACATCTAAAAGGATTTCAGTGGGTAACAGACATCCACAGTGAGAGGCACTACATGCTATGTAGAGGACCAAACAGTTCTGTTAGGATAGGGATCACATTCCATATACAAGCAATTTCCTGCACAGAAATTCACCTTCTCAGGAAATATGATACCAGGAATGGGGACAGAGGAAAGGACCACTAGTGTTGGAAAGGTCCATGCCTACCATAAACGAAAATCAAGACATATACATCTATTATACTCTAGGTATTGTTTTAAGTACTCTACAGATTCTGAAACATAAAAATCTTCACAATTTCCTAAGTACTGTTGTTCTCATCTTACAGATGAAGGAAGTAAGGTTTAGAGACTCAACAGTTGTCCAAGGTAACTCAAGGTATTTACGCTGTAGCACATGGAATCAAAGCAAGGCCATCTTGCTTAAAATCAGTAATACTAAGTGCTACAGATTTTTTGCATCTCTGTGAGTCATCTACAAATTTTGGACCTGAAGGCCGAGGCCCAGAGTTGGATATCAGGTTATGCTCACTAATACTGCTCTACAGGTCTCATATTAAGTTACCTTTCCCTGTCCACACTCTGCCTTACTAACATGCTTCTTATCAAACTTTCATGAATATTGAAAATATAAATAGTCTAAATAGGCATCTACATATTTTTAAAAAGCACAACAAATTATCTGGTTGATGGGCACTTACTGTTCTTGGTAGAAGCCAGGAATAAAGATTTATTTTATATTAAAATAATGTCTTGAAAAGTACTCATCTCAGAATCTGTATGGAACTTTAAATTCAGATGCTATTTTACTTAAAATGGGGTTACATCCTGATAAATCCCTTGGGAGGTGAAAATATCATTTTACACACATAATTTATCCATCACCACAGCTTAGTAACACAGTACACTGAAGTGCATTACTGAGGTGATTTCTTTTAACCATTTTTATTATAGTTTTATTTAATGATTTTAATTTTTTACCTTGTTGGGCTGGGTGGAGGTACACTGTGGTATTTAGAAAGGTTCTTACAATGTATCAAGTGATTTTGTAGCTGATTGGGAATTGCAGTTTCTTGCTGCTGCCTAGCATTACTAAAAAGTGTCATGGCACATATTAAGCCAGGAGGATCAAAACTCAAAGTGTGTAGTTGCCAATGGATGTGTATTGCTTTTACACCATCATAAAGCTGAAAATTTGTAAGTCAAAGCAGTATAATGTGGGCTAGTAGTTGAAGTGGGCAAACCTTCCAAGAGTATGTTTTGTGAAGGTCAGCTATTTTTTTCTGGTTTACTTTGCAATACATAGATATCAATAAAGTAAATGATCACTAATGAAGAGGTACCAGCTGTTCAGCATCTGCCCCATCATCACTTCTTACTGTTGAAATCCTTAAAAGGTATAATACCAGTCAGAAACTAGAAGGGTATGTCTACTTCACTGTCATTTATTTCCTTAATGTCCTAAAAGCTCTCCCACACCAGCAATACAAATAAAAAACAAGTTTTCTTTGAAAATAACTAAATAGGGGTTGAATTGATTACTTGATTAACGCTTTTACATAATTTGAAAAACTAATGATAACCAACTTCTCTCTTTAGCATAGACTTTTATGTACAAGACATCTGGAGGAATTGAGAAGGGAAGCATGGTAACTGTTAAGATTGCCAATGTATAATATAGCACTTGAAAAGGATGTGAAATTTGTGCAAGGTACTCCACTTTGGTGAAGCTTCATAAATTTCAGCCATAAATCAGCTACTGAGGATGTTACAATATTGGCCTTAACAAAAGAACAAATTGTCTTTATACTTCTATACCTGGCATAATCATTTAGGCTTCACTATAAAAATTGTAACTTGATATTGGCTATGGTACTCAGTTGGGAAAATGACTACAAGGTACTATTTCAATCAGAGTTGAAATATTCTTTAAATTGTATTAGAATTAAAGAGTTGATATAATTGAAAATTAAAACAAAACTCACAAATGACTGTCACCAAAAGTCTTTATTATGCCAAAACTTATCTTTAATACAAACTGGAAATTCATTTTGCATTATCAGATGTTAATATTATTAGATGCTAATAATGCTCTGCTCATATTCAGCTTTTCAGAATGAAGAGATAACATTTTACAATGGTACTACTTTCTGGCCCACCACAGCTTTCTCCTCCACCCCAGATTTAATTAACTTTATATCTTTTGTAACTTGCTGGGTTGTTGTACAGTTGGGGTTGGTTTTTGTTTTCATCTCTCTCTTACTGGAGAATGTAAATATCTACAACACTAAATGTTGTGTTTTTTTCAAAAAATGTCTATAAGGTTGGTGAACTTGACACATAATTCTTGTTGATTTTTATGGTTCCTACAGTATTTGTAAGATGAGTGAAAACAGGGTTTGACAATAACACATATCTCTGTATGTCAAGTTTTGGCAAAATACTAAATTCTTTTATATTTTGACACTATCATGGCATGCAAAAAACAAAATACACCAACGTTAAGTATTCTAGTCAAAAATTTATTACTAATTGTCTTCCTAAGTGGAAAGAAAAAGCACAATACAGAATTGGAAATTTCAGTTTTTTAAAAAACAACTCGATTATAAATCAAGGTTATCGGCAGCAAATTACAATGTTCCAAATGTCATGTTTCCTAGTTTTTATGTTTGGCTTTGAGAATAAACGTGGTCATTTTCAATGTAATTATAGTATCAGGTAAATAAACTAGCTTGCCATTTTTTTTTTCCCAGTACCGGGGTTTAACTCAGGGCCTCACGGTTGCTAGGCCTGAGCTCTACCACTTGAGCCACTCCATCAGTCCCAGGGAAGAGGACATTTATAATTCAGGTATACAATATACTCAATTTCCAAGGGCTTGAAGTTTCATGTATAATGTGCCTACAAATAATGGACTAAACTTTATTAAACTAGCTCAAGTTATCTACATGTAGAAAGAAAAAACAACCTGCTAATCAGCATCCCCACTAAAAAAACCATATGCAATTTCTTCCAATATAAATTCTCAAAACCATAGGTAAAAATGTAGTACTTCTCTAATCAATTAAAAGTAATGGAGGCCAGGAAAAAGACTAGTTAATTGTTAAAGAGAAGTAATACAAAAGAAGCCAGCCATATTTTATGTATAAGTGACAAATATATTCCTTTTTATTATTATTAAAGCTTTCTCCAGTGTAGTTCAGTAACAGAAGCATTGTATCTTATTTGATTCCACTGTTGGCCATGGTTTGAGCTCTACACACACCCTTTCCTTTCACTTCAAAGGGAGCTCCTTTATATGTGGCCACACACTCATCATTAGTGCACAGGTCAGGCTGGATCTGCTCCCAAATCTTCTTCTTAGGATTCAGCTCCTTGTCAGGCTCTCCTATGGGGGTTAAAGTAGAGGAAAACAAAAATTTCATAACTAAAATACAGAAATATTAAAGAAACTGGCTCAAGAGAGTTCTACTGAATTGTCTTGGCACTGCTTTCTGAGCTTTAGGTTTTTTAACATTTATTTTTATGATACAGGTAGTTTATATTCTTAATTACTACAACAAAGTATTATCATTTCCTTTGAATATTAAAAGCCTTTTTTACATTTATAATAAGTATTTTTTTAGATAATATAGCTCAATAATTTGTTCTCCAAATTATCAAGAGAAAAATGTAATATATTCATTTTATTGTACATATAAAGAAAAAGTATGAAGATGAGAGCATATTTTGATGTGTTATATTTTTATACCTGGCAAGAGAAGCTTATGCTTTACTGTATGTTTCAACACACAATATGAGTGATTTAAATATTGGGTTATCTAGCTAAATACAATGGCTGCTTTGGATTTCATTTGTTCCCCTTGGTAAAATGGAGAGACAGAAAGGAGAAGTGAGGACACAAGGATTAGCATTTTCTAAACACCAGGGACATATGTTGTATGAAATATATACAACAACCTGATTCTAATTTTAAATACAAAAAACTGAAGGTAAGAGAAGATAAGTTGCTCAGTGTCAAACAATTAACAAGTGGAGCCAGGATTTGACATCAAAACCTATGTTCTGCTACTAGGGCAACCTTTCTCCTGATATACTATGCTTTAGAAGAGAAATAATCGTCTGACAGGTGGATAATGCCCCACCCTCTATTTATAGTAACTCACATTATAAACTTTATAATTGAAAACAGGCAAGTAGTAAGAGCCAACATGGTCTAGGTTAAAAGGTAAGCAATTTCTCAATTCTACTTAATGACAAGGAAGTAGAGAGTAAAGTTTAACATAACTTAAGCATGGCATGTGGGGGTTTTCAATGATTTTTGGAATGAAGAATCAGTTCAAGAAACAGTAAGGAAAAATAATGTACCTCTTAAGCATTAGAACTTCAATGATTTTCTGGAGGTTAATACATATATTTTGGATCTTTTTTCCAGTGACTCCCAAGTAGAAATCTGTTGAAACTACTTTCTCTTTAAATTACTCTAATTACTTATATTCCATGCTCTGATTATATCATATTATCTGAAGTAGTGTTTACTCTCTGATCACACATTTATAGGAAAAACAAAGTTGAGTAAACTGATGGGCCTTGGTGGTCTTATACCTTATTAGCTCTTCAGAGACTATGAAACTGGGAAGAACACACAAAACTGACCTTTAATATACAGTTTTTCTGTGATAATAATAGTTAATTGAATGGTATATCCATAGTAAAAGAATAAGCAATGAAATTACAACTGAAAGACTGACTAGCAAAAAAGATGAAGATTTCTCTTTCTCCTTAACATCACTTAATTGTACAATAAAAACTCAAATAAAACAGAATACAGAACTATCAATAAGTAAAATGTAATTACACTTCTCCTTAGATTAATAAGATTTTTATTTTTTGTTTCTAAATCATCCATCAGTCTAAAAGTTTAGACTTGAGAACAAATCATGTGAATAGGAGAGCATTCCAAAATGCTAGAAAGGTAGAGGCAGCGATACTGTTAAGAGGCTTAAGCAGTGACTCAGATTTGCACCCCTCCTCCAAAAGATGCTGCACAACTGATAACAGGTTCAAGAAGCAGGGTGCCCCCAATTCATGTATAAGTTTCTGTTTAATAAGAATACAAACTGCAGCTGAGTGGGGTGGCTCAAGCCTATAATCCTAGCTACTCAGGAGGCAGAGATCAAGAGAATTCTTCCAGGGAAAAAAATTTGCAAGACCCCTTCTCAGCTAATGGATGGGAATGGTAGCACACACCTGTCATTCCAGCACAAATGGAAGGATTGTGGTCCAGGTCAGCCCCAGCATAAAGTGAGACCTAGTTCAAAACTAACCAACACAAAAAGGGCTGCGCTGAGTTTAGGGCACAAGCCATACCAATATAAGATAGCAAACTAATAATAAATGTTGTGTGTGCTCTAACTGCTTCACTGTCTTGCACCACTCCCAATCCTATTGTCTATCCCTCTTCTCAGCCCCCCTATTCCTTGAAATACAATAGTACTAAGATTAGGCCAATCAACAACCCTACAATAGTTCATAAGGGTTTAAGTGAAAGAAATAGTTACTTGTCTCTCACTTAAATCAAAAACTAAAAATGATTAGTGGTGAAGGCATGCTGAAAGCTCAGACAGGTCTAAAGCCAGGCTTCTGTGCCCAAAAGCCAAATTGTAAATAGAAAGGAAAAGTTCTTAAAGAAAATTAAATGTGCTGCTTCAATGAACACATGAATAAGAAAGCGAAATGGCCTTATTACTAGGATGGAGAAAGTTTTAGTCTGCACAGAAGATTAAGCCAGTCAAAACATTCCCTTAAACTAAAACCTAATCCAGAGCAAGGCCCTAACTCTCTTTAATTGTATGAAGGCTGACAGAAGTAAGGAAGCTGAGAAGAAAAGTCTGATATCAGTAAGGAAACAAGTTGTCTCCATACCATAAAAGTGCAAGGTGAAGCAGCAAGTGTCAATGCAGAATATTCAAGTTATCCAGAAGATATAGCTAGATAAGTGATGAAGGTGACTATAGTCAGGAACAGATTTTCAGTACAGATGAAACATTCTTATACTGGTCAATGGCTGGCTTAAAAGCTTTAAACTCTAGTCAAGGCTAATGAATCCTATCGCAAAAACCCTAGAGACCTTAAGCATTATATTAAGTCTAATCTACCCATGCTCTATAAATGGAAAGAGAAAGTATGGATAACAGCACATTTGTTGAGGGTACTGCTCAGAGGGAAAAAACAAAACAAAATTCTTTCAGGTCACCTAAGAGCTCTAATGGAGATATACATGAAATTCATGTTTTCATGCCTGCTAACACAGTTATGTGTTAATCCACTCTGCAGTCCAAGGATCAAGGAACAATTTTGATTTTCAAGTCTTATTATTTAAGAAATATACTTTGTGAGGATACTGCTGTCACAGATAGTGATTCCTCTGATAGACCCAAGCAAAGTAAATCGAAAGCCTTCTGGATTCACTATTCTAGATGTCCTTAAGAGCACTGTCATCCATGGCAACTTGCTGACTGATATAATTGAAAATGGCGGAAAGGTAATGGCAAAAGCAAAGAAATAGAAGGCTTATAAAAAGGGGTGGTGGCAGTGGGGACCAGGGTAGTAATGGTAGAGATGAATGATTCGAGGTATGTTCAGAAGATACAGCCACCAGGATTTTCTGAAGGAGAAGATGTAAGGTAGGAAAAGCAGATAAGCAATTGGGAGAATAGAGTTGCTATCAAATGAGAGAAAAATATATCAAATGTGAGGGACTCCAAGGGAGAAGACTGGGACATATATTTCTCTTTTGTGGACATGCAAGTAAAGAAGTCCAGTAGGTAGTTGGACAAGTAACTGGATAAAATCACCAAAGGAATAGCAAGTGAAGAAAAATAAGATGCCAAGGACCAAGCTTTGAGGCACCCCAGTAAGAGGCCAGGGAAAAAAAATCAGCAAAGGAAATGAGAAGGGCAGCTGAGGATCACTAAGAGACAGTGGTGCTAGAAGCCAATTGAATTAAGAAAAGGACTAAGAACTAGCCACTGGAATAGTCGGTGATCTTAACCAGAGCAGTTCTGCAAGAATTTGTGAGGAAAGAAACCTGACTGAAATGGATTTCAGATAGGAGATACAAAGTAGAGACAATTTTTTATTTAATTTCAGAAATAAATCCCAAAGCCAAAGCTATGTTTTGTGATTAGCTATTAACTTATACTGCTAAGACTCAGTATCAACAAAAATAAGCATGATCTTGGAAGTTTAATCTGAATCTAAATTCAGTCTGAATATAACTTCTTATTAGACCATGAATAGTGCATTCTTAAAGAAGAGCTGTCATTGCCTGTCTCCTGCAATCAGCTGCAATACTGGTTTCAATTTATTTCTGGGCTTTAGGGGCCAGCTACACATTTACATACTAAATTTATAGCTTTCCACATTTAAGATTTTAAGAAAGTGTTGCGTGGGTGGGAAGAGTTTTAAATGTTGGTAAAACATATTACTTTGCCTCTTCCAATGTCAATGGGAATTTTTAGCTTTGTAACTAGAAAAAATTTGTAAGTACAAGTTTTTTTCAAGGTCAACAACAAATTGAAAGGTTTGGGTCCTAACTGTACTTTCTATGTCATACTTAATAAAAGTAAGATGTTAATCTCTAGACACTGAGCACGAGCTGCTTTAAGATTTACAAAGTAAAACAGATACTACAAAATAAAGTACTAAAAAATCATGGTCTTCTCTAGGGAAGAAAAAAAATCCCCGCAAGACTGATTTTCTGTTGTATGATATTAAACTGTTATTTCTTTTCAAATTTACTGCTTCAGGAGCAGTAGCGGATGTGGAAGCACATGGATACCCTTACAATTTTGTCAATTATTTGATACTGCTCAGCTTGGTTAAAGAGAAAATAAGTCAAAACACCTTCATGGACTATTTTAAGTTTTCTCTTCTTTCACTTTACAAATACTAACCTTTCCTACATATTGAAGTGCCTGGGAACAAAAGGAGAATCTGGGAGAAATTCCAGACTTAGAACAGTACAAGCACACACATGGAAACAGCCACATTGATAAAAAGATTCAAGAATATAATAAAGGCAAGAAATCCATGTTATGCTAATGGCACCTCAAATGTTAAGTAATTCAAGAAAAACTTCATTCCAATTTATTCAACAGTAATATTCAGATAATAAAACCTGACTCAAAGGCCAGAATAATTTAACTTTTAATTCTGATAAAGGAATGATAGCTGTTGTACTAATAAAAGAACTACAGCCTTTATTAGTTAAATAGCCCATATTAATTATCAGCAAGCAACAATCAACAAACAAAAATGCTGCCATAGAAAGAGATTAGGTCATGTCTAGTTTGATTCTTCCACTAACTCAATATCCATAAGCAAGAAACTAAGTTTCACTGGGGTTCAGTTTCCTAATTAGTCAAAAAGAGGGTTAAAATAGATTTCATTCTATTCATTCGAATTTTAAATAACTGATTCTACAATTTATCTTAAAAAAGCAAAACTAAATAAGGATTTAAATAAAAAGTAAAGCAAATGTTAATCTAGAAAGATAAATTCAGATTAGTTGCTCTTCTCAATGTTCTAAATCTCAATACTTCTACAGTCTAAAGCCATCAAGTTTTTTTGGGGGGGATTTTCTTAAAAAATGAAAAGAAAAGACTCATACAGCACAGACTACAATGGTTTCCCATCTACCAAGGTTCAATACACACGCACGTATATTCAAAAGTCATAGGAACTTCTAAAAGAAATCCTGTGTTTTAAACTTTAGTCTACTTTTGATTATGAGGATGGAGCTCAGTTTCAGCTTACTTCATCATACTTTCATCCATATTTCTACCTTATTATTCTAATGTTAAAACTCTGCATATTTTAATAGTTTATCAAAGACAGTTCACATAGGATTTTAAAACTACCTATATAATGACATCAGTTTTGTTCCTACTCAGCTTTTCTATAAATATCTCTAAATTAACTGACTTTTGAACCTAATTCTACTTTTTACTTTAAGTTCTACTTTTCTGATACTCTAGATGAATGAACATCTTTTATGTAAAAGCAGCCTTTAACTGTTTTTTCTCTTAAGAGGTTTCCCCCTTTTATAAAATACTTATTCTATATCTGCCAACCACCCTTTCTCTTCTGCTTCAAAGACCTATTTGAGGAAATTTTCTCATACATTATAAAGCTTCATCTATCTCAAGATTCCTACTGAAAACAAATAATATAAAACAAAACTGTCTTTTAGATTGTTAAATAACTGAATTTTAATTTAGAGATTCTCTGCATACCTTGTCAAGTAAAAGCACACACAAGTGAATTATTGTTGTTTTTGAGAAGTATAGATATTTCCTCTACACCTTCTTTCCCTTCTTTGTCTTTGTGTGTTGCAGTCTGAGACAATCTGCAGCTTAAATGACTTTGCAGCACACTAATTTCTTCTTTATTCATGTCAGACTGTTCTGCTATGTAGGTATTAATACCAGTATTTTACCTAGGACAAAAATCTCTCCATAGTATTTTACAAAATGTGTTTATAGAGAGAAAGATGGTTCCATGATTATGCTCAATGTGTCATACTGACCATTTAATAAAAGCCTTGTGATTCATACACAGGACCGATTCTAACCTCTAAATATTATAAACATCACTTTCAAAACTGATTCACAAACTATTTAAACAATTACTGAATACTTACCAGGGAAAGCATCGAAAGTAATTCTGTCTCCAGGAACAGATCCATTAGGAGGAGCCAAAATTTCTACTTTCTCTGGTGAGCTAGCACACATCACCATTGCTTGAGATAGTACTCCCCGCATCTTTGCAGGTTTCAGGTTACAAAGTAAAATCACCATCCGATTTTGCATCTGTGTGGAACATAAAGTAGTGACTACAGATGCATAAAGATTTAGAATAATCACATCTAGAAAAGTAAGGCACAATTAGTATGCTCAATATCAAATGTGCTACTTTATGGATGTGTTTTTCTGTGTATTCAAAACCTTCTAGTGTTCTTATGAAGCCTTACAGAAACATGAAAAGAAAATCCTTCAAACTGAAATGTATCTCAGTTGAAAGAGCACAGACCTTCCAGCAAAATACTTATCAAATAAATAAGTAAGAGCTGAGTGAAACAAATTGGTTTTGAAGTTTGGCTGTTATTTATTAGCAATGGGAATATACAAAATAGATCTTTCTGTTTCTTTAAAAAATGAGGGAAACATTGAACTTTACTGAAGAGTTGTCATAAGATTAAATCATAATATGCATGAAAAGCATTTTTAGCTTAAGCAGTATCACTAAAATAAATGTACCCTCATATATATTTTATTCTCTACACATTTGGTAATGACCAATACTATACTTTCCTCCCTTCTTTCTTTTGTGGTGTTGGAAATCGAACCCAGGAATTTGTGCATGCTTGGCAAGTGCTCTGCGTCTGAGCTATAGTCTTAGTACTTTATTTCTTAAATAAAAGAACAAACTCTATCATTTAATAATCCAAGCATCGTGTATGTACACTGCAATTAACACTTAGGGCTATGTCTACAATCTGTTATTGAAGTGAACAGAAATTTCTTCAAAAGTTGAAGTGTCTTATTTTTTTTCCTAGGCTAAGAAAGTAAGTTAGGTAGTTCTTTAAATTCTTTCAACAAACTTAAGTAAAAGACATGAGCACTACTGCTGTAGGGAGAAAAACAAGATGCATTCTGGATGAAAGATAGATTTTTATAAACAAATGTTATGTGCTAATTTACTTCCAAATTCTACAGTTAACAAAAATGGGCCTACTAAAACATGACTTCAAAATTACCCTTTTCTTAGGGGGTCTTCATGAATAATATAACTATCCAACACTTCAAACAAGCAACTTGAAAAATGTTGTATTATAAAAACTTTAAAGAGCAAATAAATATGTGCAAAGAACAGCATGTGGGTTAGCCAAATGCCATTATTTTAGGATCTGTGATAATTGTGAACCTTTTTCTTAGAAAAATATAAAACCTACAAAACTGAATATGCAGTTTTGGGAGCAAAGGGTTCCTACCTTATAGAATGTTTATTATTATTACTTGGTGACTTAATTTATATAAATAGCTTTGCTCATGGCTATGAATGACAGTTTCTAGAAAAGAAACAGCCTGCAACTTAAGAGAAAAGAAAAGATGAAGCCCAAATAAAGAAGAATTTTTTCCTATCTGAGCTGGTTCAAGATCAGTTGGTTCTCTTCCCCAAGTCCTTAAAAATCTAACTTCATAAAGAGTTCTGAAGGAGTCTTGGTCCTGTACAAATGAATGTTAAAAAAGGAAAAAAACAAAACAAAAACATACATATGAAAAATCTGTCACTTTTTGCATAGGTAAAAGAAATTTCTTTACTTTTATCTTCTTACCCTTCAACAAAGCAGAAAAAATGATCTTATAAAAATGTGAGGCAGACTCTGTTACTTCTTTACTTTAAACTCCACCAATGGTACTCACCTTATTTAGAATAAAAGCTAAATTCTTTAAAATTATCTTTAAGACTCTATGTCTTTTGGCACCCTTATCTCTGATTTCATCTCTCATGACCTTCCTCCTTATTTACTTTGCTCTAGTGACAATGGCTTCCTGTTATTCCTTGAACATCACAGGCAGGTACCTGACATAGAGCTGCCTGAAATGCTCATCTGCCAGATAGACACTTGACTTCCTTTCTTCATTTTCTTACACCTTTATTCAAATGTCATTTTCTGTACAAAGCCTTCCCTGGCTACTTCATATAAAATGGCAACATCATCCTGTCCTAGATTCTTTTCCTAATTTATTTTTCTCTTGGCATTTATCACTATTTAACATATTGTATACTTTTATGTCTTCATAATTTTCTGACTCCCTCATAAAAATCTGAACTTCATAAAGGTAGGGGTATATTTTTTTAACCTATCCACTTGCCTACCTAACTATCTATTTTAATCTGCTGCTAGTATATCCCTTGTCTAGAACAGTGATTGGTTCATAGCAAGTGTCTAGTAAATACTTATATCTAGAAATATGAATGGCTGTATGTAGGGATTGGTTTAACTTTAAAAAGCCAGGAAATAGCAGCAGAGTGTATATGAAAAGAGAGGCAGAGCTATCTTAAGTGCCGAGGTCCATATTCTTCCCATTATCTCTGAAGCACCATGGGCAGAAGAAACGTGATTCAGATCACTACAGAAGACATACAGAAAGCGCAAATTAAAAACTATTACTTTTGATTCTTTCTGCTGTTATTGAACAGATTTCAAAAAATTTAATTCCTCAAGAAAGTAAACATGGTACTCCAAAGTAAAGGAAAAGAAAGGAATAAAGGATGCAACCTTGTGTTGAGAAGAGGGCTTGAAAGCTTATGAGGAAAAAGCAGCAGCAGCTAGTAAATACTGCTCTGTAGAGTATCATTTTGGAGTACCAATCTGCTTTTAAAATGGTTATCAAGCAAAGTCATTCTTCATAAAAATATACTGTAATTATTTTCACATAACCAAAATACCCAGCCAGTTTTTAACCCAGAAATAATTAAATTTTGAGTAGGGAGTAATACAAACTGCAGCCATTCCTGGGGGGCTAAGTATAGAAAGAGGAAAAGTTAGGATTTCAAAGTCTGACCTTCTCCTTGCTATCAAATATCTTTTGTGGAACACTTAAAACCCAAATTTTATTGGCTCAGATAATTAAGCAGTGAAAATCTAAAAGAAATGAGCTTGTCAAACTGGAAGTAGAAAGCATTACTTCCTTGCATTCTTGGTAAGTCAGTATTGTACTGTGTTCTGGCAGTGTTGAAACTAGAGGCATACAACAGCTCATACCAGGGATAAAGATCTCAGATCATCTACCAGGTAGATAAAGGAGATGAAGAAAGAATTCTAGATAGAAAAACTAGCAGTACTCTTGTTTATCTAGGACACAGTATAAGAAACTATTCACTATCTTCTTAACCATCCATAAATATAACACTAGCAGAAGAGTGATGATAAAGAGCAATCACAACTGACCTCTACCTCACTTTGACTCTTCAATCACTGAAACTATGGATAGTATACCTTCCTTCTAGTGGAGGTACCCATCAGTGAGTGTTGGCTAATTTCTGTCTTGAGAAAGCAGCAAGGGACTGAAGGGATCTGTACTAATTTTTTAAATAAGACATCTGTATTTTCATGAGAAATCCCATATGGAACTATTTTAAACACTAGGAAAGATAACTAAAACTTTCTGGTATTATGGTCCCTCCATGGCCCAAAAGCTGATGATTTATGACTTTGATCATGTGTATTGCACTGAAATCTGCATATTCCCTGCAGTTAATCTTTCTTTTTTGGACAGTACTGGGTATTGAATTAAACCCAGGGCTTCCTTCTTGCTAGGAAGGTACTCTACCACTTGAGTCATCCCTACCTGCAATTAGAACCTCAAGCTGACTACATGTCCTACGTCAAATGATAACAGGAAAGGAGACCAGTATAGGGATTAAGGGCTTTGAAGTCAGATGGATGCGTAAACACTAGTTATGTGCGCAAGCTGCTTTGCTATGTTAAATACGGACACTGCTTAACACAGAATTATATGCCATAGTAAATAAAACAGCATGTGTATCAACTTTATATATTAAGTACCTTAAAAACAACAGTCATTATTTTTATTATTGTACTATCATAGAATTTTATCATTCCTTGATTTTTTTTAAACCTATCATATAAACCCAGAAAGAATAAATCTAAAAGTATGAGAACAAGTTTTATTATTTTATAACCCAGGAAATACTTTCATACTTCAGGAAAAGAAACGAGACAGGATCATGGAGAATGACTTGAAGTTTTTAATGAATTCCTTTATTCATTAAGAATTGAGTGCTTGAATTTTGTTTTTACCTAGATATTTTAAATATATGTAAATTATTTTTTATACAAAATACGAAATTAAGGACATTTTAAAAATAGAGAAAAATAGTATTTCTTTTTTGTTCTCATCAATTCTTTCTTAATTTATGAATCTTTTTCAGATTTTTTGGTGATTTCATACACCTATTTTGGGAAATTTACCACATTCAAACTGACTATTTTAACTAGTTAATATCAGCTTATATCATATAAACATATGATAGGAAATTATAACGGAAAGACATCAAGAGAGTGGGAATAAAAGTGAAGTATGTAAGCGACAATAATTTTACTTGTCCAGATTACCTGTTCAAGAGGAACATGATTCACTAGCCCACTGACAACTGTTCTTGGGGCTGTTTCTCCAACATCTACTTCTTCTACATACAAAGAATCTGCATCAGGGTGTTTTTTGGCAGTAATGATGCAACCAATTCGAAGATCCAGACGGGATACATCTATAGGCTTAGAATCAGCACTTCCTGCTAATGGTTGCTGTTTTTTCTCCTTCTTTTCTCCTAAAAACAATTTAAGAATGGGTAGAATCACAAATAAAAATAATTATAAGAAACCTCTGGCATCAGTACCAATAAGCTAAAGAAAAAATAAAAAAGAATGTTTATCTCCTACCTTTGCTTAAGAATAAAGGACTTACTCAAGCCATAAAATCTTGAATACTATTTTAGCTATTTCTCTAAACCACTGTCCATTTTTCTAGTTAACAACACAGTTTGGCACAGTCTGGCCCATGGGCCTAATCTAGCCTGCTGTCTAGTTTTGTCAAGTTTTAACTATATACACTCCTTTACTTTTTGTCTATGGATAATTAGCACTATGGCAGAGTTGAGTGGTTTTGATACAGACTTCATGGTCCAAAAAGCCTAACATATTTACTATATGGTCTTTTATAGAAAAAGTTTGTTGTTGCCCTGAAGCAAGGATATAGAAAATCTTAAAAACCTTATGTTGGGCTCTTTGGAAAAAATCCTGCATTTAGAAAAAACTTCACAATCAGTAGCCAAATGTAGAATAAACTACAATGAAATACAATTTGCTGATAAAATGTTTCTCTTATCACTAATGTGCAAGTGTAAGTAAACAGTGAATTTTTTCATTTCTTAAGATTTCCCTTTAGACTTAGGAGTACTTAGGTTTATCCACACCAACTATTTGAGCAAAGGGAGTATTTTATTCTGATTATGTTTTAATAATCTTGCTTATATTTATACGCTGTTAATGTAATTTATTAACATATGATCATTTTAAGCATTAGTCCAAATACAACCTGAAAGGAAATTTACATTCCTTAAATTTACAATTATCTTTCCTGTTAAAAAGAATGTAAAAATAAAAATAAGGACTTATCTACCTTTTAATCTACAGGGTAGAGATTAACTATTGTAGCTTGAAAACATTACTTCCCCATTATATCTTTGTTTAATCTTCCAACAAATACTTATTAAGGCACAAGAAATGGTGTAGTAAGGCAGTGGAGAAATCTATGCCTTACAGCATCTTTGTTGCTACACTTATGAGAAGATTGATTCTAACTATCCTACAGTTAGAATTATACTGCATTCTCCTTAGAGAACAGAGTATGGACTTCTCAAAATTTATGAGAACAGGATAGATGACTGTGTTTTGTCTACTTCTTAATAATTTTATAAAGTAAAAGAATTAGGCTGACTTTATTCTTCACAGTCAGACCATTTAGCAGTGAAATTATATGAGGATGTATAGCCCCTACCTACTTCTAATAACAGATGTTAATGATGATTATCAAAAGAAACAAGTACTAGTTGCTAAACTGCCTTAGGTCAGTTCATAAATCAAAACTCAGTAATTTCATATTTCCCAAGCAATTGTAAATAAGTATGAGAGGTAGGAATGATGAATTATAAAATCAACTTTTTTGGACAAATTTAGTGAAAAGAGATCTAGTAAAGAGCAAAGAAGAGTAGTTAAACCTAACATCCACATGTCTCAGTTTAGAGACTTTGTTTTGACTGGATGTCCTTTTCCTATCTTCACAACTGGTTCTAAGCCAAGTTTTACCTATGACTTCTTTCAAACTAGGACCCCAAATACATCAAAATTTACTCGCCCCAAAATACAAGTGGATTTCTATACTTATTGCTAACTTTCTATGTTTTTTACTTTTGCCAGTCCTTCTAAAATGCCATACTTTTACCCTATCAAACTAGTCAGCATTCATATATCCTTTAGGACGAAGGTTCCAAGTTTGTTTCTAGTTCTAGCTCATAAAAATTTGAACTTTCTTTACTATTATTATCATGAAAAAATCTGGTAAAACAGTCAAGAGTCAAATATGCTTAAGAGTTAAATATACCTTTCTTTTCAGTTTTCTCCTTCACCTTCTTTTCTTCTCCTCCCTCTTTTTTTATCTGCTCTTTGAGAACAGAAGAGATGGTTGTTGTTGGTGTAGGTTGCATCACATTTTCAGAAACCACAGAATTAGCTTGCTGTGGAGTACCAGATGGGAATGGTATTTGCTTCACTGATATAGAAAATGAACAGATAATGTCACTTATGTTAAACTCACAAGAAGCACAGTAAAAAATGGAATTGTGAATCATGAATATGTACTCTTTTTAAAAGTTCTTTCTTTTTAAAGGAAAAACTCACTATATGTGACTATCAATTATCTATTATCTGAGGCTATAGAAAGGCTGCTAAGAAACGAAGTATTATTGACAAAACAAAAATAAGGACATGATTTTCATTTAATCTCTAATTACTAAAGTGAGAACATTGCAGGTATCAACAATAATAGCTAACATTTATTATGGACTTCCAATGCTTCATGTGAATAAACTCATGTAATTCTCATAAATACCATGAGAAGTAGACTCTATTCATGTTGTCATTATTCCACTGACAGACAATATTCTCTCTTACTACTGGTTCTAAGAATATATAATTGATTTTTCCTTTACACTACAGATAAAATTCATACAATATTCAAATTAATTCAGTGACAACAATCTATAATGTCCATATTTAGTTACCTCCATTCTGAATTTCTGCCTGAATCAGCTCTTGTTTCAGTTCTTCAATTTCTTTCTTCAGTTTAGCATTTTCAACTCGAAGTTTCTTTTCTTCTCTCAAGGTTGCCTGCAAAACTAGGATCAAGAAAATCCAGTTAATATGTGTTGTTTTTTAAAAGATTTCTCTTGAGTACTATTTTAAAACAGCTGATACCACCAGGAACCAAATATTTGGCCATTTGATTTATGCCAGTTTAATATGTAAAACGACATGACAGTCATGCCTTGGTGCCAAGGGGGATTAGTCCCAGGAAACCTACAGATATCAAAATCTGTGGAAGATCAAGTTATTACATAAAATGTCATAATATTTGCATATTCACAACACTCATCTTCCTATATATTTAAAATCACCACTGGATTATTTATAACACCTAATATAGTATAAATGTTTTGTAAACTGTTGTTATCCTATACTATTTAGGGAATAAAATATGAAAAAATGTCTGCACATATGCAGTACAGACATATTAGAATTCTTTTTCCTGACAATTCTTTTTCCTGACATATTAGAATCCACAATCAGTTGATTCAAGAAAGAAAATCTGTGAAATAATATTGGGACAGAAAAGGTTTTGTTTATGAGTCATTTTTCTAGCTTCTATAAAGATGTTTACTAAAAATCAAATTACTACCTTTTCATCACTGTAGTTATAATAAAGGGCAGTAAGAAGCCAGACCAAACAAACAAACAAAAAAGTGTCAATAACATAAACTGTAAGAGAGAAAGAGAAGTACTAGATAAATTATGTGTAACAAAAACTCTGAGACCCAATAACACCACAAAAGGAAAACTTACTCCATTTCTTTCTTTTTTAGTCATTACCTCTTCAAAGAAGTTGAATAATCTAATCCTAAAGTCTCTGAGTTGAGGTAGTAAATCATTTAGTGAGTAAAAGAACTTCAAAGATTTGACTGAAATATGTCTATGATAAGCATCGAGTGCAACAGTGCACCCGAAAATATAAAAAGAAAAAGAAAAAACTCAGTGGGGCTGGTATTGCACCGTAGGTAGAATTTTTGAAAATATGTGGGTCATTACTGTTATTTACTGTGTAGGAGCTGGGGATGCCAGTGCCCTATAAATTGTTAGTACTCCTGCAAAACGGTGTACTATCTCATATCCCACAGAAGTAAATGCATACATGTATGGGTGAAAATCCTGTTAATACTGCTAGGTTTTAACTATTCTTTATATATAAACACAAAGAATTTTCAGCATTTTTATTAGACCCTGAATTTTTCTAGGATTCAAGTATCATGTATATAAATTGTAGATAGTATTATGTTTTGTTCAGAGGTTTAGGTAAGGAATCATTCATTTTTTAAATCTCTTCCCACTGTCGTGGATCAAACCCAGGGCCTTGCAAATGATATAGGCATGTGCTCTATCACTGGACCACACCCACAGCCCACATTCAGGCTGAAGATATCCTGTATTAGGTGGCACTGTAACTATCACATTCTAAGTAATTCCATGAATATAAATTAGGTAGCATGTGACCCTCTTATGTCACCTCTGGTAGTACTGTAATGCCAGAGTATTTACTCATTGAGATGTACATTACCGTTACTATTAATTATAAGCTACTTTCTATTTCTCTGCTATATTACATACAAGGTTAACATATGTTTTGAAATTATAAAAGTCAGTTATTTTATCCAAGAAATAGTTTCTTTACAGAATATTAAGAGATTTTATAAAATATTTACCATAAAATGGGCAATGGGCCTGACAGCCACAGGCCAGCCTACCAAAGAATAATAATAAAAGTTAAGACTATATAGGATTTTTTGTTTAGTTTTGTTTTATTCTTTGAAATGCTAGTCAAGATGCTAGGGAGTGAAAAATATTCTAACATTTACTCTATCACATAGAAGCAATGATCATCTCCAATTTCTTTACCTTACTAATGGAAAGAAATGTTAAGGATTTTGAGAAAAAATTTTAAAGTCCTAAGAAACACTATAATACTATACTCAAAACATTAAAGGAACATAAGTCATTATTAAAATAATCAAGAAATAATTTACATGGTAAATTTTTTTAATCTGTCAATACATAAATTGACTTTCAGTATCTCTTTAGAGAATTTAAGATTTTCTCACCTGCCTTCTCCTTAAGAAGAGCAACTTGATGCTTAAGATACTCAATAATTTGATCTGCTTCTGCACCCTTCTGTTCCAGTCTCTTTAGAACAGCATCACTAGTGGCCATTTTTGCCATAAAACGGCAGAAAATCCTAAATGAAAAAATAAAACTGATAAATTACACTGTAGAAGGAATAAATTTATTGTACAAAACACAATGAAAAAGCAATCTGAGGAAAATCTAGTTATCTGCTATAACTAATCAGTATCTTATATAAATACTTTTCCTATGTAGAGCCAGAATCCAGCAGAGCAAAAATGTTAAGTAGACCAATTCCTCAATCTCTTTGAAAGGCAATCTATTTTGCTCCAAACTTAAAAATTGTCATTTAACCACCCTTAAGGTTGGACAATTTTAAAGCCTTAAAATATCGCAGAATATTATAACCTAAAACCAGTACATTATGAGAAAAGGATAACTATAAACTTAGTTGAAGTAATCAGTATTGTATTGGTATTTTAAAGTAGAGAGAGTCACTAAATTATTTCCTTACATGGTACTTTTGTATACTGGATAGTTCTACTGTTTACTGAATTATGTACATTTTCAGGAGGAATATGTGAAACAGAAAGGACAAAAAAAAACCAAATAGGAAAACATCAATATTAATTCTACATCTACTCAAAATAATGTCAGTGTATGTATATATATATAGTGTCCTTTATAAAAATTATTAGACTTTTGAAAGATAAATTCAAGGAAATTAAAAAGCATCCTGTGAAGATACAGAAAAATGCATGAGCATACATGCTGAAATTAACTTATCTGTTAAAGTTTAAACCACTCACTGCTATGATAAATAATAAACACAGTGAAAAATGAGAACCAATCAATAATAATACTGTGAATTATACCCTTTACTTGATTGAATACCAATTTTATATAATTCAAAGTATAAAAATTATACAAGCATTGCTGAAATAATCTTGACTTGAAATGTATGAAACTACTGAATACATGGTGAAATTTTTTGACAAAGGAAAAAACTGTTTATCTTTTTTTAGAAAATCAACCTCCAAAATACTTTATTCTAAAGTTAATAATACATGATAGACACAATATAAAAGCAAAATAAAACCTTATAGAAACAATGACGTAAATGAAGAAACTAAAGAAAAACCTGGAATAGCCATAGCAAACTACATGTTCTATATGGACTGTTAATAGTTAAGAAACTATAGATTGAAAAGATACAAAAATTCAAAATAAATATATCACCTTTTAAATGCCATTTTAAACAAAGTGAACACAGAATAATGTTGTTTCTCAAATGGTTGCATGGTCAGGACTTCAGGGGAAAAATACAAATAGATTTATGAAGAAGTTAATGTAAAAATGCTATGCTCTTCTGAATTTCAGCCTTTTGAATTACAGCAATTTAAAAAATTTAATATCTTTCTATTTTAGTCTAACAGAAATAATGATCAGTATATACCCAAGAGGTGAAATACAACTATCAAATAATAATGTGTAACGGGGAATATGAAATTAGTGATACACTTTAGTAAAATACAGAAAAGGTATGGCTTATAAACTGTCTTTTCAAATTTCAGAAAAAAACTCTAATAAACTAGTATTTTGATAGACATGAAAACAAAGAGATTTGAGACCAGTTTTCACAAATAAGCCAGCACATCTAGTTAGTCACATCACAAATAAATATCATTCAACTTGCTGAAAAAGCAGAGTATGAATCTCATGCCTTGAGTCACAGAAAACAATCTTAAAATCTTACAGACTAACAGTAATTTGCAAAATATAGATCATAAACCTCAGTCAAAGAGAGATACAAGATACATGATCTTACTGAGGTGATAAATCTACTAACTATCTCAAGGTATAGTTTCAAAACTATATTGAAGGACAGACATTCTGTAGGAAGAGAGAAGATCATGTTTTAAAATATAGAAACGCAAATGAGCTGAATATAGTAACACCACAACTATTAAGAAATAATGTGATGAAGGAAACTCTGAGTGAAACTGACAGAAAATACCAGCAAGAGAAAAGAGGAATTATCTAAACATGTTGAGATGAAGAAATAGAAACGAAGACTTGCCATACCAGTTTAGCAGCAGATGGTGTAACAAGAACTATTAAATTTAGCTTGAACAATATTTTTACATGTTAACTAAATGAAAGTCTTTTTTCTTTTTTAAGAAAGGGTCTCATTATGAGGCCGAGATTGATTTCCAACTCTTGATCCTCTTGCCTTAGCATCCCAAGTGCTGGGATTACAGGAGTGTACTACCAAGCCTAGCAAAAGCTTTTTGTCTTTTAAAAAAGTCAAAATAGTAATTAAGGGAGGGGGCAAGGGAAGGGGGCAGAAATGACCCAAACATTGTATGCACATATGAATAAAAGGAAAAAAAAGTCAAAATATGTCTAACAAAAATCAGAGCTCACCCACATCTAAAAGATATTAGTTAAGTGAAATGTATATATCTATCAGCATGTGACCTTGAACAAGTTATATAATCACTCTGTGTCTTAGTTCTCTCTTTTATAAGATGGAGATAATTTTATATATGTAATACTTAATACTTTTGACACATAGCAAGTAAATGGTAATGAACTTATGTTAGGCACTGAACAAAATTTGGGAACACAAAAGATAGGGTACATATACAACCTCTGAGAAGCTTACAGTATAGTGGTTTACCTAATATCACAATATTTTCTACACATCTAGTTAGAATTTATATTTTCTGAAGGGTTAAGGATATGACACTGATGCTATAAATATACTTAGATCATTTGGTAAGGCTTCACATTAATTTGTCAATAACATACAGTCCATGAAAGAGTGACAGATTGATATAGTTACATTAATTCTGAATTTTGTGTTTATAACAATGAGCAAAATACATCTAAGGACTCCTGTTTCAGGAATACAGTAAGACAAATGCCACTTGAAAATCTTTGCACACTTTTCCTACCATAACTGGAAACTTTGAAGACTGACTTGAGATCATTAAATGAATGCAATGATGGAACATCTGACAGAATTAAATGGAATAAAGCACGTTTCAGTTTGCATTCTTTGTGATAATCTTCTAAGAACTATTAGGAAAGTTGTTAGCTTGAGCCTGGAAGGCAAAACAATCCAGGATGTGCAATATATAATTTTGCCAAACTCACACAAGTAGCCAAGAATACCAACAGAAAAATTACTTTAGGAGAATGATGGGAATCGTTCTGTTTTAAGGGAAAGAAAAAAAAGAATAAAAATTTACTGTTTGATTGCTGTGAACCTAAAACTGCTTTAAAAAAGTCTATTAAAATAAAAATGCTAGGCTTGGAAAGGTAGGTGGGGGAGAGAGATAAGGAAAGATTGTCTAATGGGCACAAAATACATTTAGGAAAAATAACTTTAAGTATTCTATAGCACAGTAGAGTAACTATAATTAACAATATTTTGAAATAACTGCAAGAGAGGACCTTGAATACTTTCATAAAAAAGAAATATTTGAAGAGATGCTAATCATTCTGATTTGATCACTACACACTGTGTCAATATACTGTTTCCCCACAAATATGTACAATTATGATGTCTCAATGAAAGAGATAATTTTTAAAAATTATCCTTGGGGAAAAGATACACCAAACCACAAGCTTTGAAGTATGTGAATTTGAAATATGGGAACATACTCTAAAGTCTTCATTTAGTGATGCAATAATTAAGAGTTTCCAACAGTTTCTGTAAGTTATCACTCATGATACATAAACCATAGTAATACATTAAAATTAAATATAAGTTAAAATTATTTTCAACAATTTAACTGCAACTATATCACTAAGACCATGACAGAGAAAGGCTCATTAAAAGAGGAGAATAACTATCTTTTACTAACACAGTCATTTCTCTTTAATAATTTAAGAGTTCTTGGCAAAATAAAACTCAGAAATGACTACAAAATGTACCAGCTGTTGACCATAATCTAATTTTTCTGCCACTCCTAGGTAACTGGCTATCTGAA